CCAAAACCCGCCTAGCCCTCATCCCCTCAACCCCTAAAACCCACCCAGTCCTCATCCCCTCAACCCCTAAAACCCACCCAGCCCTCACTCCTCCTCATCCCCTCTCCTTCCATGTGACCCCCCCCCCACCCTTCTGAGGGGGGATACATGGACCCCCCCCGTGGGGGACGGGGGGACCACCCCCCTCTTCCTTCATTTCCCTCTTCTCTCCTTCTGCCCCAATGCCCACACCTACCCCTGAGTTCCCCCTGACTAATACAACCTCCCTCCCTCTCTCACTATCTATGCTCCTTCCGCCCCTCTTCCCCCCACCCCTTCTATCCTTCTCTCCCCCCAACCTCTCAACCTCTATCTGACTCCCAACCTTACGCTATCTCCCAACCCCTCTATGTCCCCCAGACCCTCCCTAATCTTCAGACTCAGTATGCCCTTCCTACTCCAGCCCTACCTACCCAGGCCCTACCCCAGACTTTCTTACCTACTTTCCTAGATGCCCAGCCCCCATTCGCTCCCCAAGCACCCCCTCCAGACCCCATTCACCCCCGGATCCCCCATTCACCCCCCCAGACACCCTCCCCCCCAGATCCCCAGAGAAAGGGCGAACGCTGGTATCAGAGTTTCCAAGAAGAGTCTCAAGGTTTGGTTCACCAATGCTGATGGGGTAATTAATAAAGCAGAAGAGGTAAGAGAAAGAGTGAGTGAGGCAGATCCTGACATAGTTGCAATAGTGGAAACTAAAATAAATGACATGATCTCGGATGCAATCTCTCCAGAGGAGTACCAAGTGATAAGAAAAGAGAGGACACAGAGACAGGGAGGGGGAGTGGCACTCCTAATAAAGCGGAAATGGAAGTTTGAAGACCTGGGAAATTGGGTTACCAATGAGTGCACAAGCTTCATACATGGAACTCTGACAGCAGATGGGAGGAAGATTGTGATCTTGGTAATCTACAATCCCCCACCAAACAGTAGAAGACCCAGGCAGGAGTATGATGACAACAACAAGGCATGTATAGATGAACTGCAGAAGGCAGCAACACTAGCCCACAGAATGAGAGCGAAGCTGCTGGTCATGGGGGACCTAAATCATGGACAGATAAATTGGGAATTAAGGAATCCCCATGGAGGGGACGAAACGTGGGGAGCAAAGTTAGTATATATTATAGACAGGAATTTCCTAACACAACATGTGAAGGAAGACACAAGGGAAAGAGGAGGAGAGGCACCGAGCCTATTAGACCTGATTTTCACCCAGAACGTAGAAGACATCGAGAATTTGGAGCATGAAATACCTCTAGGGGCCAGTGACCATTGTGTCCTAGTCTTTGACTACATGACGGAATTCAAACTTGTGACCATGGGACAAGAGGTCTGGAAAAGGAGAGTTGACTACAGGAAAGGGTAAGGGACTATCTGGGTGAAGTGCAGTGGGAGGAAGAAATTAGAGGAAAAAAAGTTGACTACAGGAGGATAAGGAACTATCTGGGTGAAGTGCAGTGGGAGGAAGAAATTAGAGGAAAAAAAAGTCCAAGATATGATGGACCTAGTCATACGGAAATGCCAGGAGGCCGAAGAGAGATTTATACCAACAGTAAAGGGAAAAAATAAGAGAGAATATAATAACCCATGGTTTAATAGACAGTGTTAGGAAGCAAAAATGGCCAGCAGGCGGGAGTGGAGGAAGTACAGAAGACAAAGAACAGAGGACAACAGGATCATATGCAACAGAGCTAGGAACGATTACATTAACATAAGACGAGTGTCGGAAAGGGACTATGAGAACGATATTGTAATGAAAGCGAAAAAACAACCTAAATTAGTACACAGCCATATAAGAAGAAAACTGTCGGTGAACGACCAAGTGACAGGACTAAGGAAAACAGAGCGGGCATATACAGAAAGTGACAAGGAAATCTGCGAGGTACTGAATGCCAGTGTCTATGGAGTGTTCACAACCGAGCCTGAGCAGCTCCCATTGTTGGAAGGGGTTACCCTAGATGAAAGACTATCAGATATAGAGGTAACAGCAGAGGAGGTAATGAAACAGTTGACAACTCTAGATGCAACTAAAGCGGTTGGACCAGATAAAGTATCACCGTGGATACTAAAAGAAGCAGCGCAGGCCCTCAGCGTGCCTCTGGCAATGGTCTTTAATGAGTCATTTATATCGGGAGAATTGCCCAGTTGCTGGAAGGAGGCAAATGTACCGATTTTCAAGAAAGGTGATAGGGAGGAGGCACTTAACTATAGACCTGTATCACTGCCAAGCATCCCCTATAAAATACTTGAAAGGATAATTAGGCTACGACTGAATGCACACCTGGAGAACGTTAGGTTTGTGAACAAACATCAACATGGGTTCTGGAAAGGGAAATCTTGCCTAAAAAACCTTTTGGAATTCAATGATAAAATATCGAGGATAAGACAGGACAGAGATGGTTTGGCAGACTGCATATTTCTGGACTGCCAAAAAGCCTTTGATACAGTACCGCACATGAGACTGCTGTTCAAACTGGAGAGGCAGGTGGGGGTGGGAGGAAAGGCCCTAGCATGGATAAGGAACTACCTAACAGGAAGGAGCCAAAGAGAACGGTAAAGGGCGAGAAGTCGGACTGTCGAACAGTAACAAGTGGAGTACCTCAAGGATCGGTGCTGGGACCAATTCTATTTTTAATATATGTTAACGACATGTTTACAGGAGTAGAGTCCTACATGTCGATGTTCGCGGATGACGCAAAGTTGATGAGAAGAGTTGTGACAGATGAGGATTGCAGGATCCTCCAAGAGGACCTGAACAGGTTGCAGAGATGGTCAGAGAAATGGCTACTGGAGTTCAACACGAGCAAATGTAAAGTTATGGAAATGGGACTAGGTGATAGGAGACCAAAGGGACAGTACACAATGAAGGGGAACTCCCTACCTGTGACGACGCAAGAAAGAGACCTGGGCGTGGACGTATCACCTAATCTATCTCCTGAAGCACATATAAATAGGATAACAACAGCAGCATACTCTACACTGGCAAAAGTTAGAACATCATTCAGAAACCTAAGTAAGGAGGCATTTAGGGCACTTTACACTGCCTATGTGAGGCCAGTCTTAGAGTATGCCGCCTCATCATGGAGTCCCCATCTGAAGAAGCATATAAGGAAACTGGAAAAGGTTCAGAGGTTTGCGACAAGGCTTGTCCCAGAGTTACGAGGGATGGGGTATGAGGAGCGCCTAAGGGAACTGTGCCTTACGACACTAGAAAGAAGGGAGAGGGGGGATATGATAGGAACGTATAAAATACTTAGGGGGAGTGACAGAGTGGACAGAGACGAAATGTTCACACGTAATAATAATAGAACGAGGGGACATGGGTGGAAGCTGGAAACTCAGATGAGTCACAGAGATGTTTGGAAGTTTTCTTTTAGCGTGAGAGTAGTGGGAAAATAGAATGCACTTGAAGGAGCAGGTTGTGGAAGCACACTCTATTCATAATTTTAAAGCTAGGTATGATAGGGAAATTGGACCGTAGTCATTGTTGTAAACAACCGATGCTGGAAAGGCGGGATCCACGAATCAATGTTCGATCCTGCAGACACAAATAGGTGAGTACACACACACACACACACACACACACACACACACACACACACACACACTCACGCACGTATGTGTGTGTGCGGGCGTGTGTACCTGTGTCTCCGCTAATTCCATTCCACAACTTTACATAAGAGCGTGAGTGGGCGATGAAGGAGAGGGGCTGAGGACGTAATGACCCACTTCGGAGCGCAGAAGCAGCTAGTTAAAATATTCTCAGTGTTAGCACAGAGGGGAAAACCTTTAAAAAAAAGAATTCACAGAATAGGAGGAAGAAATTTAGTGGACACGACAATTCCCTCTGAGGGTGTAGGGAACACTTAAAAAAGGTACTCAAAACACTTCAAGATACTTAAATTTAAAGATACGCGATGGTACGGCCTCGCGGATATTGGGTTTAGCGTGTTATAGATGTTACAGCTGTCATAGCCTGCAAATTGCATCTACCAGTTACAGATTATAGGTGAAGCACAGAAATCAATTGGAGACTATGTGTGCGTTGCATCACATTAAAACTTTGGGTGTATCAGAGGTATAAATTCTATACTTTGGGTGTATCAGAGGTATAAATTCTATACTTTGCGTGTATCAGAGGCATAAATTCTATACTTTGGGTGTATCAGAGGCATAAATTCTATACTTTGGGTGTATCAGAGGCATAAATTCTATACTTTGGGTGTATCAGAGGCATAAATTCTATACTTTGGGTGTATCAGAGGCATAAATTCTATACTTTGGGTGTATCAGAGGCATAAATTCTATACTTTGGGTGTATCAGAGGCATAAATTCTATACTTTGGGTGTATCAGAGGTATAAATTCTATACTTTGGGTGTATCAGAGGCATAAATTCTATACTTTGGGTGTATCAGAGGCATAAATTCTATACTTTGGGTGTATCAGAGGCATAAATTCTATACTTTGCGTATTGCAGAGACAAAAATTCTATAACTTTAGATGTAATATAGTCATAAATTCTATATCTTGGGTGTAGCAGAGACAAATTCTATAATTTGGGTGTCGCAGAGATCCATTCTATAATTTGTGTTTTAGGAAATACATAGATTGTATACTTTGGGTGTAGCAGAGGCGTAAATTCTATACTCTAGGTGAAAGAAATGTATGAATTTTATACTTTGAGTAGAGCTGATCCATACATCCTCTACTCTGTGTGTAGCAAAGGTATTAACTCCAGATTATGGGTGTAATAGAGGTATTAACTCCAGATTATGGGTGTAATAGAGGTATTAACTCCAGATTATGGGTGTAGCAAAGGTATTAACTCCAGATTATGGGTGTAATAAAGGTATTAACTCCAGATTATGGGTGTAATAGAGGTATTAACTCCAGATTATGGGTGTAATAGAGGTTATTAACTCCAGATTATGGGTGTAATAGAGATATTAACTCCAGATCATGGGTGTAGCAGAGGTATTAACTCCAGATTATGGGTGTAGCAAAGGTATTAACTCCAGATTATGGGTGTAGCAGAGGTATTAACTCCAGATTATGGGTGTAGCAGAGGTATTAACTCCAGATTATGGGTGTAGCAAAGGTATTAACTCCAGATTATGGGTGTAGCAGAGGTATTAACTCCAGATTATGGGTGTAGCAAAGGTATTAACTCCAGATTATGGGTGTAGCAAAGGTATTAACTCCAGATTATGGGTGTAATAGAGGTATTAACTCCAGATTATGGGTGTAATAGAGGTATTAACTCCAGATTATGGGTGTAATAGAGGTATTAACTCCAGATTATGGGTGTAATAGAGGTATTAACTCCAGATTATGGGTGTAGCAGAGGTATTAACTCCAGATTATGGGTGTAATAGAGGTATTAACTCCAGATTATGGGTGTAATAGAGGTATTAACTCCAGATTATGGGTGTAGCAAAGGTATTAACTCCAGATTATGGGTGTAGCAAAGGTATTAACTCCAGATTATGGGTGTAGCAAAGGTATTAACTCCAGATTATGGGTGTAGCAAAGGTATTAACTCCAGATTATGGGTGTAGCAGAGGTATTAACTCTAGATTATGGGTGTAGCAAAGGTATTAACTCCAGATTATGGGTGTAGCAAAGGTATTAACTCCAGATTATGGGTGTAGCAGAGGTATTAACTCCAGATTATGGGTGTAATAGAGGTATTAACTCCAGATTATGGGTGTAATAGAGGTATTAACTCCAGATTATGGGTGTAATAGAGGTATTAACTCCAGATTATGGGTGTAATAGAGGTATTAACTCCAGATTATGGGTGTAATAGAGGTATTAACTCCAGATTATGGGTGTAATAGAGGTATTAACTCCAGATTATGGGTGTAGCAAACACAAATTCCTTAGGTAATCTCCATAACCAACAGCTCCCCATGTTTGCTCCCCCATCAGAGTGGGGACCAAACAATTCCCAGAGCACCAGTCAACCGTTCCAGGATCATTCAGTATATCAGGTCCCAGGTGATAGTGAATAAACCTGGAGTTTGTGTGTGTGTCCCCTAACTCCAGACGTCACCTCAACACCCCCCAGAAAACTGGAAGCCATCTATGTATTCCAGATCATCCACATTACCGGCTGTGCCCCCTGAAGAATCGCAGACATTCAAAGTTTCAAGATGGAAAGTTAAACACCTGGGCTCTGTCCTGGCGCCTCTGGCTTGGACAATATCAATAAGCTAAGACAAAAAGGGTTGAAAGGTTTACAAAGTGACAAATGGCACAAAGATGAAGGGTAGAAATAGCCTAAGCTACTCTATCCCTTTGAGATGTATTTATTGCTTATCTCAATAAACATACTTGAACTTGAACTTGAACTTGACACAAAGATGAGGGCAGGAATCAATGCAGGAGATTCAAAATCGTTTCAGGACAATCTAGAGAATCTTGTAAAACAGACGAAAAAGGCTGGGGGATGCAGTTTAATGCTGAACATGTTGATGATAGTAATGATGAAAGAGTTGCCAGATATCAGCTAGACAATGTTGCACGCGAAATTATACATGAGAAAAAGATCTGCAAGTTATGATTAGTAGAGATCTTAAAGCAGCAGAAACTTTCATGCATAAATGTAATAAGCAGTGGTAACACACTCGTCCAGCACCTCGCGAGTGATTTTGTCTGGGTTCGAGCCCTGGCCAGGGAGGAGTGACTAGGCGCCAATCCTTAACTGTTCGACTATATTCTCCCCAATAGTAATTGGGTATCTGGTTGTTAACCAATTGGTGGGTTGTTTTCCATGGAATACTAGTGGATTAAGGCCTCCGAGGAGCTATGGCAAGGCTCTAACGCCTGCTAACAGGAGTCACAGGTCGTCTACTCCTGTAACCACCCGTGTAAAAATAAACAGCAATAACGCTTATAAATACACAACGGTGTACTCTAATAATCGGTGTATATACACAGTATACTTTATACTTTAGTCCTGGGCAATGTTCAGAACTCAAAAATACTTGCTGGTTGGTCATCTTGAGATGAGGTTATCTTGAGATGATTTCGGGGCTTTTTTTAGTGTCCCCGCGGCCCGGTCCTCGACCAGGCCTCCACCCCCAGGAAGCAGCCCGTGACAGCTGACTAACACCCAGGTACCTATTTTACTGCTAGGTACCAGGGGCATAGGGTGAAAGAAACTCTGCCCATTGTTTCTCGCCGGCGCCTGGGATCGAACCCAGAACCACAGGATCACAAATCCAGCGTGCTGTCCGCTCGGCCGACCGGCTCCCATGGTCAGTAAGCAATTGCAGTGGTCTTAATAACCCTCTTGTGGTTGACAGCCCTTCATCTCAACATCAAACGAGACCAATGATGGTATTCTCCAGCCTCACCTTGCACGTCTTAGGCCCCATTTATATTACACAACTCAGGTAATATACCTATTTGTACCTATTTTTAATAGGTACAATACATAATGTACCTATTTTTCTTCTGGTCACCGTACTGTACAATGGTCAGAAAATCACTTAAACGAGGTTCAGAGAAGAATGACAACGTTTAATCATAGGAATCAGAAACCTCCAAATGAAAGAGAGAAAAATCAATCTAAATGTATATTCTCATCCAACACTAATAGGTGTGACACACTAGATGTATACAAATTAATGAAAAGGTATTACAAAGTGGGTATTAATTAAATGTCTAATATGTTAATATAACAATACAACACGAAACAATATATATATTCAATTCAGATTCAGAAAAGACCTGGGTAAATACTGGTTTGGGAATAGGGTTGCTTATTAATGAAACAAATTACCAGAGAACATAAGAGACGTAGCACACTATAAGTATAAACAGGACCTTCCTCTCATGGACCAGTAAGCCTTCAGCACTATAAGTATTAACAGGACCTTCCTCTCATGGACCAGTAAGCCTTCAGCACTATAAGTATTAACAGGACCTTCCTCTCATGGACCAGTAAGCCTTCAGCACTATAAGTATAAACAGGACCTTCCTCTCATGGACCAGTAAGCCTTCAGCACTATAAGTATAAACAGGACCTTCCTCTCATGGACCAGTAAGCCTTCAGCACTATAAGTATAAACAGGACCTTCCTCTCATGGACCAGTAAGCCTTCAGCACTATAAGTATAAACAGGACCTTCCTCTCATGGACCAGTAAGCCTTCAGCACTATAAGTATAAACAGGACCTTCCTCTCATGGACCAGTAAGCCTTCAGCACTATAAGTATAAACAGGACCTTCCTCTCATGGACCAGTAAGCCTTCAGCACTATAAGTATTAACAGGACCTTCCTCTCATGGACCAGTAAGCCTTCAGCACTATAAGTATTAACAGGACCTTCCTCTCATGGACCAGTAAGCCTTCAGCACTATAAGTATAAACAGGACCTTCCTCTCATGGACCAGTAAGCCTTCAGCACTATAAGTATAAACAGGACCTTCCTCTCATGGACCAGTAAGCCTTCACCAGTTTCCTATATTATACTTACGTTCTTAAATACAAACAAAAAACAAAGAGAAAATACAAAACGTTCAACAGAAAGTCAGAAACCAAACCATAATGGTATGTCTTGTGCCTAATAGGCCAAGTTGCCTTACGAGCCGAGTTTTCCTGAAATTATATATTTTTCTAACTTTTTTCTTATCGAATGATAAAGCTTCCCATTATATTACATATGAATTAATTTTTTTTAACTTAAAACTAACATAGAAATTTGATCAAACCTAGCCTAACTTACCTAGCCTAACCTGTCCTAACATAACTAAGTCAGTAATTCATGTTCTCAATGTAATATAATAATGTTCATTCAAATAAACTAATTTGAAAAAGAAATGTTTGAAAATCAAGAAAATCACTCGGCCTGTTAGGCAAATCGGGGCTTGCATACCAGGCTAAATAGAGCCTCATAGCTATTAGGTGCGACACATACACAACAATTTTTAGAAACCAAACAATTATGTATATACAAGATAATTTTAGAAACCCATAAATTCCAGTCCCATTGACGTCCCCCATTCACCCCAATAATCCCACTGACGTCCCCCCATTCACCCCAATAATCCCATTGACGTCCCCCTAATTCACCCCAATAATCCCATTGACGTCCCCCATTCACCCCAATAATCCCATTGACGTCCCCCTCATTCACCCCAAGAATCCCATTGACGTCCCCCCCATTCACCCCAATAATCCCATTGACGTCCCCCATTCACCCCAATAATCCCATTGACGTCCCCCCCATTCACCCCAATAATCCCATTGACGTCCCCCATTCACCCCAATAATTCCATTGACGTCCCCCATTCAACCCCAACAACCTAACGACTACCGGTGTTGGAATTTAAAAACAAAACAAATTAATCAGAGACCAAAACAAAGCAATCAGAGACCAAAACAAAGCAATCAGAGACCAAAACAAAGCAATCAGAGACCAAAACAAGTAATCAGAGACCAAAACAAAGTAATCAGAGACCAAAACAAAGCAATCAGAGACCAAAACAAAGTAATCAGAGACCAAAACAAATTAATCAGAGACCAAAACAAAGTAATCAGAGACCAAAACAAAGCAATCAGAGACCAAAACAAAGTAATCAGAGACCAAAACAAAGTAATCAGAGACCAAAACAAATTAATCAGAGACCAAAACAAAGTAATCAGAGACCAAAACAAATTAATCAGAGACCAAAACAAAGTAATCAGAGACCAAAACAAAGCAATCAGAGACCAAAACAAAGTAATCAGAGACCAAAACAAAGTAATCAGAGACCAAAACAAAGTAATCAGAGACCAAAACAAAGCAATCAGAGACCAAAACAAAGTAATCAGAGACCAAAACAAATTAATCAGAGACCAAAACAAATTAATCAGAGACCAAAACAAATTAATCAGAGACCAAAACAAATTAATCAGAGACCAAAACAAATTAATCAGAGACCGAAACAAAGTAATCAGAGACCAAAACAAAGTAATCAGAGACCAAAACAAAGTAATCAGAGACCAAAACAAAGTAATCAGAGACCAAAACAAAGTAATCAGAGACCAAAACAAAGCAATCAGAGACCAAAACAAAGTAATCAGAGACCAAAACAAAGTAATCAGAGACCAAAACAAAGTAATCAAAGACCAAAACAAATTAATCAGAGACCAAAACAAAGCAATCAGAGACCAAAACAAAGTAATCAGAGGCCAAAACAAAGTAATCAAAGACCAAAACAAATTAATCAGAGACCAAAACAAAGTAATCAGAGACCAAAACAAATTAATCAGAGACCAAAACAAAGCAATCAAGAGACCAAAACAAGTAATCAGAGACCAAAACAAAGTAATGAGACCAAAACAAATTAATCAGAGACCAAAACAAATTAATCAGAGACCAAAACAAATTAATCAGAGACCAAAACAAAGTAATCAGAGACCGAAACAAAGCAATCAGAGACCAAAACAAAGTAATCAGAGACCAAAACAAATTAATCAGAGACCAAAACAAAGTAATCAGAGACCAAAACAAATTAATCAGAGACCAAAACAAATTAATCAGAGACCAAAACAAAGTAATCAGAGACCAAAACAAAGCAATCAGAGACCAAAACAAATTAATCAGATACCAAAACAAAGTAATCAGAGACCGAAACAAAGCAATCAGAGACCAAAACAAAGTAATCAGAGACCAAAACAAATTAATCAGAGACCAAAACAAAGTAATCAGAGACCAAAACAAATTAATCAGAGACCAAAACAAATTAATCAGAGACCAAAACAAAGTAATCAGAGACCAAAACAAAGCAATCAGAGACCAAAACAAAGCAAACAGAGACCAAAACAAAGTAATCAGAGACCGAAACAAAGCAATCAGAGACCAAAACAAAGCAAACAGAGACCAAAACAAAGTAATCAGAGACCAAAACAAAGCAATCAGAGACCGAAACAAAGCAATCAGAGACCAAAACAAAGCAAACAGAGACCAAAACAAAGTAATCAAAGACCAAAACAAAGCAGAGACCAAAACAAGTAATCAGAGACCAAAACAAAGTAATGAGACCAAAACAAATTAATCAGGGACCCAAACAATTTAATCAGAGACCAAAACAAAGTAATCAGAGACCAAAACATTAGTAATTAGAGACCAAAACAAAGTAATCAGAGACCAAAACAAAGCAATCAGAGACCAAAACAAAGTAATCAGAGACCAAAACAAAGTAATCAGAGACCAAAACAAAGTAATCAGAGACCAAAACAAATCCAGCAAATGATTAAAAAATGAAAATCAAACTATTCACCCCACAAAAATTCCGAGCAAACTCAGTTCAGTCTTTCTCTGGGAATTTGGACGGAGGAGAGGTGCTTCCCGTTTTCTTCCTGTTTTAGTAAGAAACAGCGAGTGTTGAACGTCTTCGTAAATTAAAAAGAATCTGTTGGAAGACAAAAATCATGATTCACGTATTTTTTTTTTTTCAAAGTTCTTTGGGAAGACTTTTTCCAGGTGGGCTTAATTTACTTCGGACATAAATTCTTGGATGTGTGTTAGTGTTGTGTGAGCAAGTGTGTGTGTGTGTGTGTGTGTGTGTGTGTGTGTGTGTGTGTGTGTGTGTGTGTGTGTGTGTGTGTGTGTGTGTGTGTGTGTGTGTGTGTGTGTGTGTGAGCAAGTGTGTGTGTGTGTGTGTGTTAAGGTTTTTATGTGAGTGTGTGTTCTCACAAACTCACAACACTTATGAGTTGTGTGTATGTGTGTGTGTATATACTATTTGTGTCTGCAGAATCGAGCTATTTGCTCTTGGACCCGGTCTTTCGAACCAATCTATTTTTCCTCTGTTATGTTTACTATATATATTTCTCTCTAACACACGCACACACACATCCCCAAGAAGCAGCCCGTAGCAGTTGTCTAACTCCCAGGTACCTATTTACTGCTAGGTGAACAGACGCATCAGGGTGAAAGAAACTCTGCCTATTTGTTTCCGCCTCCGCCGCGAATCGAACCCGGCTACGACATTACGACTACGACTCCCAAGCGCTGTCCACTCGCGGCTGAGTGTGTATGTGTACTTACCTTGCTGTCTTTACAGGGGGTTGTGCTTCAGTTCTTGGGTTTCCGACTTTCAACCTTCAATAGTTCACAGTTTTTATATTGTCTAACCTTGCATATACAAACCCATGTCTTTTTCTCTGATTTCAGGAGGGATTTACTTTTCATTTGGATTCTTTGTATCCGGCCACCTTTTCAGCACCCAAATTATTACACTGCACTTTGTGTTTAATTCTAGTAGCCACTTTTTGGGCCATTCTCTCATTTTATCCAGGTCATGCTACAGCTTCTTCCAGTCTTCCACTGTACCTATTTTCTTCGTAATTTTTTGCGACGTCAGTAAACGCTAACATGAAGGAGTCTATCCTCTCTGGAAGACCATTCACGTACAGTACTGAGCCCTATGGGACCTACTGGTAACATCTCGCCAATCACATGTCACTCCTTTCATTGTGAAAGGAATGACATGTAATTGTACTTATTGTGACATGTGAGTACTTATTGACATGTGAGTACTTATTGACATGTGAGTACTTATTGACATGTGAGTACTTATTGTGCTTAAGTACTCTCTTTTCCACTAGAGCACCATCTTCTTCTTCTTGAGGTTATCTTGAGATGATTTCGGGGCTTTTTAGTGTCCCCGCGGCCCGGTCCTCGACCAGGCCTCCACCCCCAGGAAGCAGCCCGTGACAGCTGACTAACACCCAGGTACCTATTTTACTGCTAGGTAACAGGGGCATAGGGTGAAAGAAACTCTGCCCATTGTTTCTCGCCGGCGCCTGGGATCGAACCCAGGACCACAGGATCACAAGTCCAGTGTGCTGTCCGCTCGGCCACATGTGGAATAGTGTGTCGTAAGATTATCCGTCCCTGTGTGACAGCTGAGAGGCCTGACAGCTGAGTGGACAGCGCTCGGGGTTCGTAGTCCTGAGGTTTTGGGTTGGATCCACGGTGGAGGCGGAAACAAATAGGCAGTTTCTTTCACCCAGATGCGCTTGTTCACCTAGCAGTAAATAGGTACCTGGGAGTTAAGATAGCTGCTACGGGCTGCTTCCTGGGGGATGTGTAACAAAAAGGAGGCCTGGTCGAGGACCGGGCCGCGGGGACGTTAAGCCCCGAAATCACCTCGAAATCTCAAGATAACCCGTCCCTTGAAGTAAGTTATAAACACCCTTTTGTATCAAGTTTCTACTAAAGTTCTTTCTTACAGCTTTTTCTGTTACCTTGTATGGCATGCGAGTAAAACTGGCTTTAGTTTAGCACCAACAGTCTCCATTTATTTTTTTATTTTGTATATTGGGACAAAATTGTCTGTCTTCCAACTTTCCCTTCGTTCTTGCGTTTTCTGTGATTTGTTATATGTTAATAGTAAACATCCAGCACGGGGCTTGAGACCTCTCTCTCTCTCTCTCTTAATAGCCAGGGTGATACCTTGTCTGGCCCCCACACACTTAGTCATCTCCAGCTCCGGCCGGAGTCTCATTACTTAATCTCTGGTAATCTGGTTGGACACCATTCCTCTCGGCTCAGCCACTTTCCCTTATGAAGACCTACTGCAATCTCCAGTTTGGGTTACACACACACGTCCTCGTCGTTTCGCTCACACGTCTTCGTCGTTTCGCTCACACGTCTTTCTTTCATACACATGTCCTTGTCGCTTCACACACAAACACACGTATATTAGTTGATTGACGGTTGAGAGGCGGGACCAAAGAGCCAGAGCTCAACCCCCGCAAGCACAACTAGGCGAGTACAACTAGATGAGTACACACACACGTGCTAGGCATTATATAAGAGTACAACTAGATGAGTACACACACACGTGCTAGGCATTATATGCGAATAACTCCTCCAGAGCCTCTAGATACATCCACCGGTCCTCTATCGTTCCTTCCTTCCTGATTCAGCTGCCACAGTTTGGATCATTGGATTAGCTTCTTAAAACACTTTCAAAATGGACGTTCGCTTCTCTTCTCCTGATCTGTGATACGCATTTCTATTATCTTTCTACTTTTTGTCATTCTGTATTATTCATTCTAGGTTCTACGTGCCCTAGTACCCATGCACTTTTGCAATTTGTACACACTAATGCCTCTCGGTTATCCTCTTTTAAGACAAGGACAAGCTTGTCGTAACATATATTCAGGATTAAAACAATCCCTTTGTACACAAATTAGCAAAAAAAAATCCATAAAATATTCATTTGACTTCATTTGAAGACGATAAAAACACCATATAAAAACTCTTAAGGTTCTCCTCCTCCTCCTCTTAGCCCACTTCTGCTAAGGAAATGCACCTTACGACACTGGAAGACAGAAGAGTAAGGGGAGACATGATCACAACCTGCAATATCCTCAAAGGAATCGACCGAGTAAACATATCTTAAAATTCAGCTGGTCGACACCCTTTCCAAAGGGCCCTGGGAAGTGTTTTTCGTTTTCTATCTGTACCTCGCCGAGTCTACAGTTTTACGTCAGCAGAAGATGGAGTGTTTTAAAGAGTCTGGCTGGCTGTATGTGTATGTATGAATGTGTGTATGTTTTGGTGTACTAGTTAAGTATGTTTGTGTATCTTATAACTACTTGTCTTTATCTGTTTCCCAGTCTGTGCATTTCTCTTGGGTCGACCCGGCATCATTCCACCAGGAAACAAATCCATGAAATATTATGTGAACTAAAAGCAATCAATGGTAACATATACGGCATCCCCCACGTATGTCAACACAGCCCTTCTCAATATGTCTCTCTGTGTCTCACTGTCTCTGTCACTCTGTGTCTTTCTGTGTCACTCTCTGTACCTGACTGTCTGACTCTGCTTCTTTGTTTCTATCTGTTTCTGTCATTCTTCCACTCTCTGTATCTCTCTCTGATTCTCTGTCTGTGTCTCTGTCTCTGTACTCACCTAGACATGCTTGCAGGGTGAAGCTAGGCTCCTGGCCCCGCCTTTTGAACGTTCTTTGACTAATGCGACGACTCATTTCTCACGCTTTTGTCATATTTACATTTAAAACTTTGAATAGAACTAGCTTCAACGACTTCAGCGTCTAAGTGTTCTATTTATCGAGAGCTCTAACACTGACAAAGTCATTTCTCATGTCCCTGTGACTCATTTGCATCTCCAGTTCCCATCTATGACCCTTCGTTCTGCTGTTCTTAGCACTGAACAACACTGTTTTGTCTACCTTGTCGATTACCCCATATAATCTTATATGTTGCTTTGATATTCCCACTATTTCTCCTCTCCTCCGGTGTGGTAAAGTTCAGTTCTCTCAGTCTTTGCTCCATAGCTCAATCCCTTCAGCTCTGGAACGAGTCTCGTT